TCTCACTCTCACTCTCAATCTCACTCTCAATCTCACTCTCACTCTCACTCACTCTCACTCTCACTCTCAATCTCACTCTCACTCTCACTCACTCTCACTCTCACTCTCAATCTCACTCTTACTCTCACTCCCACTCACACTCACTCTGACTCCCACTCTCTCTTACTCAGACTCCCACTCACTCTTACTCTCACTCTCAATCTCACTCTCACTCTCACTCTCACTCTCACCATGCCCCTCCCTCTTGGACGATAGAGCAGCCGCTGTAGATATAGCTCCCAAAATCGGATTAAATATAGGGTGAAATATTTCTACTCCCACCTATGGCTGTTATGAAATAGTGTCCAGCCCTCCCCTTCTCGAGTCAATAGGTAGTGGTATAGAACTACAAGTGGAGGAAAGACATGTTCATTGTTATCCATTGATATTTCCAATGTCCATTATGTTTGAGTCTTATTAGCTTATTTTTTAATATGTTTTATCATCTTACTTTTTAAACATTTTATTATCTTGCCTTTTTAATATGCTTTATTATCTTGTTTTTTTTTATCGTTTGTTTTATTATTTTACCCCACATTGATTAAAACCGTATTGTGCATGCACGCACTGCTAGTGCGGGTGTGCTGTTTCGGCTAGAAATAGGAAAACCTTGCGTAATAATAATAGGATAGGAATAGGAATAGGATAAGAAATAGGAAAACCTTGCGTAATAATAATAGGATAGGAATAGGAATAGGATAAGAAATAGGAAAACCGCGTAACGTACGTTAGCTAGCCATTTATTTCCCCTTCCCCCAATAATATTCCCTCCCCCGTCTACCCTCTCACACTCCACTACTCCCTACTTCCCGCTCCCTACCTTCTTCTCTCCTTCATCTCAAATCCTCCCCCCGCAGCGTCAGTATACCTTCTCCTTCCTCCATCTAGTTCAAGATGAATGGATAAAAAATTAATTATTTTATATTGAATTTCAGTAATAAGATTGGGAGCAAACACGGGATAATAGTGTTTAATCAGAGCTTGAAACTAACCTGAAAACATTCACTAGACAACGCGGCTAGTGATCTGTAGTCTGTAAGTAGCCAATCTGCCAGTCCTCAACAATATTTACCCGCCCTTAATAATATTTACCCCCTTAACAATATTTACTCCCTTAACAATATTTACCCCCGCCCTTAACAATATTTACTCTCCCTTAACAATAATTTTATTTACCCACCCTTCACAATATTTACCCACCGTCTTAACAATATTCACCCACCCTTAAGGATATGTGATCTATAATATAATCCGGCCGGTTAGTAACCGGGAAGTCCCCCCCGCCAATTCAACCCACTTCTTAAAATGACAAATTATACCCTGATCTATAAGTTCAACTGATAATATAATTCAACTGATAACTAAGTTCAACTTTAACAGCGAAAATCACATCGCAAAATTACACAGATCTCTACAATAAAATTACTCTGTAAAGCGCAACAATGAAACAAAAACGTCAGCGTTAAATTCTCACCCGCACTTCACAATCACAGCTATATAAACACACATACGTGTTTGCATATATTCACGGTTTAATCAAATGACCGTATATACTGACTCCGCAACAGCACATCGTCCGTAGGTTATGTAACGTGCGTGGGGAAAAATTAGCATATTAAATCATTATACATGTTTTTAAGCTGGGTTTACACTGACGATTTTGAGTTGCCGAATTGCCGAATTGTGCGAACTTCCCAAACTTCCAAAACTCCAAACTTCCCAAACTTCCAAAACTTCCAAAACTTTCGTTCTATGAACTGTGCAGCGCGTTTATACTGACGATAATTTACGACTGCGAGTTGGCAACTCGAGCGAGCGGTCAAAGTCGACCGCGTGGCGTACGCGTGGGGCGATGGCATTATTGCATGTATAAATTCGCGCCAGGCATAGCACGTAAGAGTTTTGTGAAGTGACGGTATTTGACAGTTTTTGTCTAATATATATATGTTGCAGAAATCAGAATATGTATGAGAACGAATCTATCTATCATCAGGAACATCAGCGCAGATGCCAGACACCACATACATGTACATCAGAGGTAGATAATAAGGATCTGATATAGAATATTTTAGGAATCTGAATAGGGATCTACTTCTGATGTACATGTACACCATGCACATCGCTGCACTCGGCCATTCAAGCGCGCTCGCAATTTCTTTTATCGCTTTCTGCCTCTTGTCCCGGTCTCTATATTCAGCCTTGTCTACACGCCACAGGCATTCAGCCTTCTCATATAAAGTATATTCTCATATAAAGGTAGATAGATAGATAGATAGATAGATAGATAGATAGATAGATAGATAGATGTAGATAGATAGAGTAGATAGCCCTAGATAGATAGATAGATTAGAGTAGATAAGATTAGATAGATGGAGTAGATAGATAGATAAGAATAATAGATAGATAAATAGATAAGATAGATAAATAATAAATAGATAAATTGATAGATGGATAGATAGATAGATAACATATAGTATAGATAGATAGATAGATAAGATTAGATAGATACGATAGATAGATAGATAGATAGATAGATAGATAGATAGATAGATTAGATAGATAGGATAGATAGATAAATAGATAAATAACGATAGATAGATTAGATAGATCGATAGATAGAGAGAGAGAGAGAGCGAGAGAGAGAGAGAGAGAGAGAGAGAGAGACCCGAGAGGAGAGAGATATGAGAGTGAGATAGGGGGCTTGAGAAGAAGGTAGAAAGGGAAGGAGGGGGAGAAGTTCCAACCTTCTGTCTATAAGAAATTAAACGCGTTAACATGAGGTAGAAAGGGAGATGAGAGAGCGCGAGTGGAGAGAGAGGGGTCGGAAGAGAGAGCAGAGGGAAGGATGGAGAGAGGTAGAGAGAGAGAGAGAGAGAGAGAGAGAGAGAGACGCAAGAATGGACGGAAAGCAGAAATGGGCAGGGAGGAATATGTGTGTGTGTGTGTGTGGTGTGTGTGTTGTGTGTGTGTGTGTGTTTGTCGCGTGGCGCGCGCAGCGGCGTGTTGTGTGTGGCGTGGCGTGCGTGGCGCGTGCGTGTGTGTTGTGTGGTGCGTGCGTGCGTGCGTGTGTGGCGGGTGTGTGCGTGCCGCAGCGCGCGTGTGTGTGCGTGCGTGTGTACAAGCGTCACGGCTACTATATATATATATATGGTGTGTGGCGACCGTACGTGTGGTGTCGTAATGACATCGGTATCGGGACAGACACACACCCCGAGATTATGTAATAAACAGTGTTATCGAGTATTTCCTCGTGTGAAACTGAGTATTATTCGAAATGTGTATATAGCAAAAGAGTTGCGCTGAGGAAGGCAGTAATTTCGCTTGAATTTTCTGGCAATTTTCTTAGAGAGGCACTTCGCTGCCAGCACTTGTGCCAGGGCGTGTCCAGGGGGG